GAGACCTTGCCTTTGAACATCCAGCCCAGCTTGGGCAACCAGGCTGCCAGGAGGAGCTGTGCTTCAGTGCCAATCATTTCCGAAGCAGCTCGAACCCCTTCATAGGCTGCCAGTATCTCTTTTTCAGCTGGGGTATAGCTGGCCTCAGATCCTCTGTATCCTCGACTCCAAAGGCCAAGGGGTTAATCTCAAGTCTCCCCTAGAGATTTCTGCCAGAGGCTCCAGGTAGGACCATTCTCCCTGGATGCAGTGTAGAGTGCATTTTTTACATCTGGCCCAGTCCGGACTGGTCCAAGGGCTACTGCATGAACAGTCTCTTGTTTAATTTGTTGAAAAGCTTGTTGTTGCTCAGGGCCCCATTTGAAATCATTCTTTTTCCGGGTCACATGATAGAGAGGGCTTACAATTAAACTGCAATTTGGGATGTGCATTCTCCAGAACCCCACAACACCCAAGAAAGCTTGTGTTTCTTCCTGATTAGTTTGTGGAGACATTGCTGATATCTTGTTGATCACATCTGTGGGGATCTGGCAACATCCATCTTACCAGTTTATTCCCAAAAATTGAATCTCCTGTGCAGGTCCCTTGACCTGACTCCATTTTACAGCAAAACTGGTTTTCAGCAGGATTTGGATTATTTTTCTTCCTTTCTCAAAAACTTCTTCGCTGTATCGCCCCACATGATATCAAGGTATACTTACCCCACACATCAAGGTATTGCAGGTGTTCTGGAGCTTGCCCCTGTTCCAGTGCAGTCTGGATCAGTCCACGACAGGCTGCATTTCCACCCCTGGGGCAGTCAGTTCCTAGTGTACTGGACGCCCCTCCAAGTAAAAGCAAACTGTGGCCTGAAGTCTGCTGACAAAGGAATTGAAAAAAATGCATTGGCAATATCAGTTGTGGCATCCCACTTGGCTGCTTTTGACTCCAGTTCATACGGAAGTTCTAGTATGTCTGGTACAGCATCACTCAATGGTGGTGTGACTTCATTCAGGACACAATAGTCTGCTGTTAGTCTCCACTTTCTGTTAGACTTTCGCACCAGCTATATGGAGCCATTAAAGGATGAGTGTGTCCTTCTGATCACTCCTTGGCTCTCCAGTCTACGGATCAGCCTATGGATGGGTATCACAGAGTCTTGGTCCAATATTGCCGCCAGTGCACTGTTGTGTTCACAATTTGCAATTGTTCTTCACCCTTCAGCAACCCCACAACAGAAGCATCTTCTGAGAGACCAGGCAAGGTGGACAGCTGCTCAATTTCCTCTGTCTCCAAAGCAGCAATACCAAAAGCCTATTGGTACCCTTTTGAGTCTTTGAAGTACCCTCTCCTGAGTTAGTCCATGGCAAGGATGCATGGAGCCTTTGAACCACTCACAATGGGTTGCTTTTCCCACTTTCTCCCAGTCAGGCTGATTTCAGCCTCCAGTACAGTTAGCTCTTGGGATCACAAGTGCATGTAGAAATGGGTTTCATATGAGCAGCATGTTTTGTATTAGTAAAAATGGTATTTGCACACCATATCTTCTGAGTCATTTTGGAATATATTTTGGATGTGTATTTTTGGTTTTCCAAACTTCAGGCACTTAAATCTGGAAAATTTCACTTTTTTCTTCAAATGTAACATTAAACCGTCAAACTATTCTTCGGTCATTCACAAAGCTAATGAAAATTGATAGGAATGAGATTGATAGGATCACAAATGCAACATTTTCCGACTGGAATGCTCCTGTCATTCCTTTGCAGTCTGTTGGGTTTCAATAAGGACATTTCTGCTTGTCTGTGTTGTCTTGGGTTGAGCAGTAGCAGTCATTTTTTTTTCTCCTTCTTAGTAGCTGGTGCAGTGCTGTGGTTTTTGACTTTCAGCCTGGGAACAGCACTGATAACACCAATGTTTTTAGTTACTGCTCAAATGTTTAGTCTGACCAAGGACTTTGTGAGTCTCATGATCTGCCAGGGAGGAGGAGAAGCTGGGAGGAAGCAGAGACAGGACACCTGACCCAAACTAGCCAAAGAGGTATTCCATAAAACAGCACGTCATGCCTGGGATATGAGCTGGGAGTTACCTGGAAGGGCTGGATCAGTGCTCGGTCAGGCTGGGTATTGCTGGGTGGTATTGTATTCTCTTTCCTTGCTATTTCACTTATCATTATTATTATTGTGGTAGCAGTAGCTATTTGTGTTATACCTTAGTTGCTAAACTGTTTTCATCTCAACCTGCGGGAGTTACATTCTTCCAATTCTCCTTCCCATCCAGAGGAGGAAGGGGGAAGGAAACTGGGTAGTGAGCAAGTGAGACTGCATGGCTGACGGAGTTTAAACCATGACAACTAGCTTAGAAATTGTTAGGGGATTAGGGTGAAAACTATCATACAAAACCAGTATTTAATTCCCACTCAAGAGCTGCAGTTCTGTTCCCCCTTGCATTAAGGGGAAAATGTCATTAGGAGAATTAAACACATCCTAAATTGTAAAGCAGCACACAGCTGTAAATGTGTGTGGAAGGAGTTTAGGAAGAGCCAGCAGCCAAGCCTTGAGGGGTCATACTAGCGCTCCATCTATGCCAAAGCCTGTCTGATAGTGGCTGGAAGTGTGTGAGTATATGAATGCATATGGCAACACTTCTGGCTGCTTGCAACATACTCCATATTGACAAAGGGTCAAAAAGTTGGAGTTTGGGAGGGAGGACAAGGTTTTACCTTACCTTTCCAAACACAGCCCTGGATTTGGATGAGAAGACTGAGCTCGTGTGAGACACTGTATCAAGAATTTCAGCTATGTAACTCTTGATGGGATTAATTGGTTAGTCTGTGAGATTAAGGGTGTAATTCTTAAATCAAACAGGAGACAGAGAGTTGCTTGGTTTTAGATGGCAGCACTGAGAACTGGCTGAAAGATAAAGTGCCCTCTGACCTTCTTGTCTTAGGAGCAGGATCATATTATCACACTGATAGAGCAAGGCTATATATCCATGACAGCAGAAGGTGACAAATTTCCATCTGTATCAACAAAAAATTCAATTTAAAAAACCCTAATGGTTGAGGCATGAGGTGTTTAAAGTCCTTTTCAAATTTGTATGTCATGGTTATAAATCATCCAGATAGCTATACTTGCTTTTATAAATGCATGCTTTACCTGCTCTGTGTTTGTTTGTTACTTTGAATTGCTCTTTATATCGTCCAAGATGTAATTCCCTTCATGGCAGAAGGTGAAACACGTCAGAAGTACCTCCTTTGGAAATGCCTTACTTTTCAGTATCAGTGTGAATGCAATGGGACCCCTTGACTGGGCACTGAGCAGTATCTCTCCCAACTTCTTTCTCCTCCCTACTTCTCTTATCTTCCATAGTCCCCTGAAGGCTCTCAGAAGTGGAGCCACCACCCTCCTCTAAGATATCTACTGCTTACAGGCTGCATCCTCATTTTGTCCTCATTCTGCTAATATTTTAACCCAGTTTGCCTGCTACTTTCATATAGTTCTTGCTTTCTGGCAAGGTTCTGTGCTGAGGTTTCCTACTAGCAGCACTCTGAGACCTCTCCTTCAGGGAATGATGACGGACCTGTGCCATTTGGAGCTGATCTTCTGGGCTCGTATTTTGCCCGGAGTCCTCTTCTCCTCTTGGCCTCCAATTACATAACCTGTGAGCCATCCAAAATCCAGGACATGCAACTAGTATTTAGGCTGATGATTTTCTACCTCAGTGGCTCATTTTCCCAAAGACAGAAGACTTCAGTCTGCAAAATATGGACCCATGTTAAAAAAAAACAATTTCCCTGCCCCCAGTAGTGGCACAAACCACAATGTCATAAGGATGAATCCAGTATTGAGGCAAGGGCTTGAGGAAAGGGGATTCAGACATAGGAAAAAGTCTTTATTAGGTAAAAAAGGGTGTGATGATGTTCCATTTTTTTTTTCTTTTTCCTTTATTAAGGCTGAAATATGTTTAGGCAGGCCTTCACACTTACTTGATCTGTAGGTCACCACAGGTACACCTCGGTCAAATAATAACAGTCCTTCTTTAATAGCTTTTAGTCTGAAGAGTCAATGTACCTTACATTAAAAGGTACAACGAAAGAGGTCATGGTACATTGAAAGTACATTGAAAGGGGTCATGGAAGTTCACTCTTCATTTTCAGTGAAAGGTATTTGAAAAGTCTGATTCCTGGATTAACTGAGTTCATTAAGAAACATTTAACCAACCCATCTGCACTGATGATAAACCAAATAACGTTCTTGCCAAGTCCTTGTAAAATATCAGATAGGCTGTGCAATATGTCTGGCTAGTTCTTACTCATACATTGCTTTGCTTCCAGTGGCTGTTATTTTCAGAGCTATTGAATAATAACAGAATGCATTAGGGTATTATGTACTGTACCTCAGGCAGATTACTGTGCATCTTTTGCTTTAGCACTGCTAGGCAATTTACTTCCGTTACTATCTCTATTTGAAAGTCGCGTAACAAGAAGGCAGGGGTATATACACAGATTTTAATCTTTTAAATTGACAAATTTTCATTGAAAGGTCATATATTTCACAGCTCTTAAGTAGCGAAAATAACTCATAGTTTGTTTTCTCCACTCCCACTATTGCAAATGAGTTTAAGACAAGGGAAAGGGGACATTTTTCATGTTTTTGAGAGAGACTGCATTAGGCACCATAATTTCCAGAGGAGGTTTTATGTGCAGGAGAAGATGGTGGCTGGGAGGAGGAGATGAGCCACCTTCATAGCCAAAGGAGGCAGGGATGAGAGCTGCAGCAGAAGAGGCTTTACATGGGCCTTGTTCACTCAGTGGTCCCACACATGAAACCTGTAGTGGGAAAGGACTGGAAGAGCTTGTTGCATGCTTTGGATTTGGGATGGGGCAAGAGAATCAAGATGTGAATCTGGACAGCTGCGACAGAATATAATGGTCCCTATGGGCTCTAAACCAATCACTATCAAGCATTGAATGAAAATCAAATACTATGATTAGCTTGGAAAAGCTCACATTGCAGACTCACCAGTTTTGCACAAGCTTCCATAGAGAAAGGTCCCTCCAAGGCAGTACCCTCAACACTTTTCTGGGCTTATTGCACTTCTCTTTGACTTGTAGTATGTTAAACACACTTCCTTCACTTTTTTCCATTTTCTGACACAGCCCCTCTTCCTCAATTTATTCTGTATTTCCTCCTTTACCATTTGGAGTAGAGAAACACGATTTACACTTTTAACGCACTTACTGTATTTTGGCACCGTTAGGAGAAAAGCCCAACAGACAGATACTAATACCTGGCAACTTGAAGTTAAAATGCTGATGGTTTCTGAAATGTTCTTCATTCAAAAAAAAGAGCCTCCAAAATGGTAAGAAAATGTGTAAATCCATCTGTGGGAACTTGTCTGGAAGCCTATCCTGATGAGAGGAATAGCCAATAGTGAGATCTCCTGCAGATATCACAGTGGGCACTCTGCCCATGATGGTGGTGTTATAGTTAGGGACAGCTGATAAAGTTGCCTTTTCAATTCTTTTGTCTCCCAGGACATGGACCTTTTGAGTGACCTGCTCTACACAAGGGTAGTTCTGCAGCTTGGTTCAGGATGGGCCCCACTGCTTATGCAGGCAATCAGCATTGCCCTCAGCAATCTCAGGAGCTCAGCTAAGCTCAGACACCTTTGAATTTTGGCAGCCTTCACTGTGGTGCCTCCCATCACCATGTCTAGCACTGGGATTGACTTTTCCTGTTTCCTGACATTCTCTGCCTGGCCTGGGGGAGCACCTGTTCTTTCTTAATGCTGACCATAGTCTAGAGCTAAGTATCTTGGCTTTCTTCAGAGATGATGGGGTATGCCAGCCGAAATGGTTGTGGGTAAAACACACCCTGTATGTGTGCCAGCATGGTGATCCCCATCACAATTAGTAGGCAGGTCTCAAGGCCATTCAAAACCTTCAGAGCTCTCAAATGATGCTGTAAATACTCTGGTGGGGGAGCTGGGAAGGTAAGGGAATGTCTCCTTCATAGGTTGACCACCCAAGAAGGGAAAAAAAGACGTGTAGTTGCTAAACACTTCTGTTATATACCTCGGAAAGTATAGATGTGGGGACAACACTGGGAATGCACACAAGATCAGTTTCATAATCAATGAGTCTCTTGTATTACAAGTCATTACCATAAAGTAAAGCAAAACAAGAACCATAGCCCAAGCTCCCCCAGCCAATAAAGACTAAAACAGCAAATATTGGCTATAAGTAAGGTATGACACCCTGAAACTCTGAGATCAAGAGCAACAACTTTGAGAGCCAATAAATCAGCATTATAACAAGTGACTATTAATCCGAAACAATAAATGCTTAACACAAATAAAATTAGAAAAACTCTGGTCAGATCTGTCATTATCTCAACCCGTTGTGCACCACAATGAACTGTCATGGTTTAAGCCATCATGGAGCAGTCTTCTGGCAGAGCATGAGACTCAGAAAGTCCTTGGTCGGAGGAAACATTACTGAGCAACAAGCAAAAACATCAGCGTTATCAGCATTGTTTCCAGGTCAAAAGTCAAAACCACAGCACTGCACCAGCTACTAAGAAGGAGAAAAATGACTGTTACTGCTGAACCCATGACAGGTGTAAATCTTTGTGGATTAAAGGTGAATGTGGTACTGTGATCCTTTGAGCTCCAAGAAATGGGAAGGGCCTGTGGATCTGATAACCTGGGGGAGGGGGTATGTTTGTGTCCTCCTACCTACAGGTCTATGGTGGTCACCTGCAAAGCTTGTCAAGCCATACCATAAGCAGGACAGACAAGTTGAAGAACCCGATGCCTCAGCTGCAGAAGCTGACCTTGAAGACCCCTAGTGGAATGAGGCAGAGAAAGAGGAATGATTTGCAAAACATCACTTGGGGGGCAACTGAAAAGAAACGACTTGAATACGTGTGCTTGCAACGTAGCTAGTATTAGAGGCTGTGATTTTGTGCAGATGATTCTATAATACTATGATTCTCTGAAACCACCTGTATTTACTAGCCAGTAGCTGATAAGAAACTACACCTTGTATGTTGCAGAATGACTCTAAGAGCAGAACCATAGAGTTCTGGAGGACTGTGCAAGCAAGGCAGGGGGTGGCCCCCACAGGTAGCCAGAGACCGGACATGGGAGGAGAATGTGGAGGAAGTTGTGGGGGCTAACCAATACTGTTATGCCAAGAAGGAGTGGCTGAATACCACTCCTATATATGTGTGAACTGCGTCACAAATAAAGTAGAAGTTGCTTATCACCCATATTGGGTTGGCCTGTCTGCTTCTCCTCGCCGCTTACACTTGTATCATATGGATTTGTCACTTGTAAAGGAGATGTTAGAGCATGCAAATTTACAGCAGCTGCTAGAAAATGCTAAGGCAGAAGGTAGAAAGATTCAAATATGATTGTAATATTATAAAGCAGATAATGGAACAAATTAAGAGGCTGGGAAATTTTCTTTGGGTGGTCCCCCACTGCCATCAGCATCTTCAAAGCACTGTTGCACCCTGTAGTAGTTCTACTGCTAAAGTAAATCTGTGTGTGCTTTGCCATAGTAGCAACTTGTTACTGGATGAGGCAGGAGAAACTCTGCATTGACAACAAGGTGCAAGGATTGAGGTTGGCCAAATGCCTCCTACCACAGTCACTGGCAAGAATGTGTTGGCCTCTGTGTTTGCCACCAAGAAGAGCCTTTAGCTCTGCTGTTGGCGGCAACCCAGCAGGTGTTGAGCAGTGGGGACACATGCCATGCCAGACTTTGATGTGAGGGATGGCCTCCTTTGGTATAAGGGGGACATCCAGGAGGGAAGGACAGGCCAAGCAGCCTGTGGTTGGCAGGAGAAATGATCTAGTCCATATCCCCTGCTCACGCAGGGTCACCTAAGCAGGTTTCATCATTAGCATAAGTAACTATTATAAGTAATTATAATAATATAATGCATTATAAAAGTAAATCCCCTGTCAGGTTAACTTCCTTGACCTTTTGGAGACTAAACGAGCAATTAACCACATCTTGCAAATGACTGAAGAACTTCAGTGATTTCATCTTTTTTCAACTGAATTATGTTTTGAGTCCTGTAAGTTCATACATTAATATTTAACCGAGCTTTTTGAGCTAACTGGTCAAGTGTCATTTCTGTGATCTGAAAATTAATGATGTGCATATAAATAAGGGTGGATTTACAGCTTCGACATCAGGCTCTTCTGACACTTGACTTCTCGTTCTCAGTCAACCATGGAGCTCCTGGGAATGACCACTATTTTCTTGCTGATCTGCATCTCATGCATTCTTCTTGTCACCACATGGAGAAACATCTCACAAAATGGGAAGCAGCCTCCTGGACCCATCACACTTCCCCTCCTGGAAACATATTCCAGCTGAACCCAAAGAACTTGCTTGAGAGCTTGAGAAAGGTAAGGGACTCCTTCTTTCCTAAGTTGTCTCCATTGCTTATAAAACAAAGTCAAGTCTAGACTGTCTCAGTTTAACTCACAAACTTAATTTGCATTCACCAAATGTCAGACTCAAACAGAAACAAAATGTTTCCCGGAAATGCATGCTTCTGAAGCCTATGTATTCCAATGATATTATATCTAAGTCTATGTAGTTCAAGTCTAAGTCTATATATTTGCAATAATCATACTATGCTGTTCTTTGTGTTCCTATTTCCTACAGCTTAGTGAGAAGTATGGTCCGGGCTTCACAATATATTTAGGGCCCACAAAAGGTTGTGGTGCTGTATGGCTATGATGTTGTGAAAGAAGCTCTGATTGATCAGGCAGATGACTTCAGCAGAAGAGGCAACCTGCCACCCTTTAAAAGATTCTTCAAAGGCACAGGTATATCCCCAGTAATGTTAGCACAAAAATACTTTCAGTGCTTCAGCAACACCGAGGAGGAATAGCTGAGAGGGCAGTGGAGAAGGGAATGGTGGATTTCATTTACTCCTTTTAGCAATAAAAAGCTAAAAGCCCCGGAGTCAAGTGGTCTCCTGGAGAACTCTCTAAGGTCCCAGGCTGGATTCACTGAGTGCCTTTTCATTTTCAGCGTGCTTCAAATTCTGACTAAAATTATGCTCATCAATTATGATTCTAAGAACTTAGGTTCATTCTCCCATTTATGAAAATATTGACAATATACACACAGCAAAAGTAACCAACAGAAGGGAGTTCCAGAGATAACAAAGATGAGATAATATAGGCTGTGCCAGTCAGGGCCACATTCAAGATTAGGCCTTGGACTTATTCACTAGGGCAGTTCTGAGTACATTTTCTGCTGATTTTAAGTGTCTGTGGCCAAGAAATATTCAGTGCCAGTGCTACTTTCTTATTTGCATCCAAACGTATGTTTCCTCATGGAGGTCTCTTTTCCCTTCATCAGGTATTGTGACCAGCAATGGGGAGACCTGGAAGCAGCTCCAACGATTTGCACTCACCACCCTGAGGGATTTTGGGATGGGGAAGAGGAGCAGTGAGGGGCGAATCCAGGAGGAAGCTTATTTTCTGGTGGAGAGGATCAGGAGCACACATGGTAGGACTGGGGTTTGTGCTTACTGTGATATGCAGCATATCTGCAGTGAGACAAGGAGGGTGTAGTGCTGCTTTACTAAATCTATGACCCAAGAAGTAGGCATATGGTTGGAAAGGAACTTAAGATCATCTATTTCCAATCCCCCTGCCATGGGCAGGAGCACTTCACACTAAACCATGTGGCCCAATCTTCTGTCCAACCCATCCTTGAACACCGTCAGGGATGGAGTTTTCACAGTTTCCCTGGGCAGCCCATTCCAGTGCCTCACCACCCTCACAGTAAAGAATTTCTTCTTTAGCCAAATTTAAACTTCCCCTGTTTAAGTTTTAACCACTTACCCCTTGTTCTGTCACTACAGTCCCTAATGAGGAGTCCCTCCCCACCATCCTCATAGACCCCCTTCAGATACTGGAAGGCTGCTATGAGGTCTCCATCCAGGCTTCTCTTCTCCAGGCTGAACAGCCCCAGCATTCTCAGCCTATCTTCATATGGGAGGTGCTCCAGTCCCGTGATGATCCTCGTGGCCTTCCCCGGACTTGTTCCAACAGTTCCATGTCCTTTTTATGCTGAGGACACCAGACCTGCACACAATACTCCAGGTGAGGTCTCACAAGAGCCGAGCAGAGGGGCAAGATCACATCCTTTGACCTGCTTGTGAAGCTTCTTTTGATGCAACCCAGGATACGGTTGGCTTTCTGGGCTGCGAGCACACACTGAAGCCGGCTCATGTTCATTTTCTCATCAAACAGCACCCCCAAGTTCTTCTCCACAGGGCTGCTCTGAATCTCTTCTCTGACCAACCTGTGCCTGTGCCTGGGATTGCTTCAACCCAGGTGTAACACCTTGAACTTGTCTTGGTTAAACTTCATGAGGTTGGCATCAGCTCACCTCATAAGTGCATCAAGGTCCCTCTGGATGGCATTCCTTCCCTCCAGGGTATCAACCGAACCACACAGCTTGGTGTCATCGGCAAACTTGCTGAGGGCGCACTCAATCCCACTGTCCATGTTCAGCGACAAAGACGTTGAACAAGATTGGTCCCAGCACTGATCCCTGACGGACACCACTCGTTACTGGTCTCCAACTGGACATTGAGCCATTAACCGCAACTCTTTGTGTGCAGCCATCCAGCCAGTTCTTTATCCAGAGTGGTCCACCTATCAAATGGATGTCTCTCCCATTTACAGACAAGGATGTTTTGTGGGACCATCTAGAACGCTTTGCACAAGTCCAGGGAGATGACATCGATTGCTTTGCCCCTTTCCATCAGTTCTGTACTCCCATCATGGAAGGCCACAAA